TCTAGTGCTGGGGAGATAGCTCAGCAGACTAAAGCACCTGCTTAGGCAAGCTCCGGCAAGCACAGGGACCACAGTTCAATTCCAGATGCCACATGCTACACCAAGCCCACCCCCAGGCAGGGCTGAGCCGGCCGAGTCTAGGCTTAGTGGCACACGCATGTAATCCCAGTGCTGGGGAGGCTGAAAGCAGGAGGATCACCACAAGTCTGAGCTCCGTAGTGAGACCCTTTAATGATTAAATACATTTAAAAAAAATCTACTTATTTATTTGGTACAGGGTCTCACTATGCAGCTTGGACTCATAATGATCCTCCTGTCTCAGCCTCCCTAGTGCTGGGATTGCAGGCCTGCACCACCAAATCCAGTTTCAGGGACCAGCCAGTTGTGCCCTGGTTTGTTCCAGGGCTGGCACGGCATGCAGTAGCAGGGATCGAACCCGGATCCTTGGGCTTGCTAGGCAGGCACTTAGACCACTGAACTATTTCCTCAGCCCCAAACTCTTAATGTAGTTTACTAATGAAGTATTTTGCCCTCTGTTTTATCATATCTTCAAAATCAATCTGATACACATTTTATTTTTTGAGACAGAGTCTCACTGTGCAGTTCAGGCTGTCCTTGAACTTATTATGTGACCCGCACTGGCCCAGAGCTAGCAGCAACTGTCCTCCCTCAGCCTCCTGAATACTAGGATTACAAGTGCGCACTGCCAGGGCTGGCCCTGATACATATTTTAACTTACAGCAGAATGCATTTGGGACCAAGTACATTTCAAAAGGCTGAGGATGGAGGATCGCTGTGAGTTGGAGACCAACCTGGGCTACAGTGAGTTCAAGACCAGCCTGAAGTGCATAGTGAGACCCTGTCTTGAAAGAAAGAAAGACTAATAGTAACATATGATATGAGCAGTGACAAATATGTTAGAAACAAAAATATTCTGGGTATTGTTATTTTGTAATATTGTGGATTGACCTCAGTTACAGTCCTCAGCTATTCCCCACTTTTTTTTTTTTTTTTTTTACTTTCTATTAATTACTTATGTATTTTCAGTCTTGTTTTGTAGTTCAGGCTGGCTTTGAACGCACTGTAGCCCAAGCTTGCCTCAAATTTTCACAGATCCTTTTTCTTTTCTTTCTTTTTTCTTTTTCTTTTTTTTTTTTTTTTCGGAACTGGGGATTGAACTCAGATCCTTGCATTTGCCAGTCAAGTGCTTATTCTACTGAGCCATCTCCCTGGCCCCTTTAAAAATTTATTATTATTATTATTATTATTATTATTATTTTTCCGGAACCCGGGATTGAACTCAGACCCTTGTGCTTGCCAGGGAAACACTTATTCCACTGAGCCATCTCCCCGGCCCCCACAGATCCTTTTTCCTCAGCCTGAATACTGGGTTAATAGGCATGTGCCACCACTTGGTTATTTTTATTTTTGAGGCAGGATCTCACTAATTTGCTAAATTCCCCAGCCTGAGGTAGAACTTGCAATCTTTCTGTCTCAGCCTCTGGAGAGCTGGGATTACAGGCATGCAGTACCACACCAGGCTACAAGTCAGTCAGAAACGTCCACCTGCCTTCCGGTCCTAAGGACCCTCTCGAGGTCGCTCAGGCTGGGCGGTGCTCAACACTGGGGTGAGGAGCAGGGCCTCGGCTTCCTCAGGAGCAATGTTTCTGGCCCTTCCGAGGGCGAATCGCTCCCTTCCCGTCCTTGGCCTGAATTCTCTCCTTTTGTAGGCTGCTCAGGTCCGGTATATATCTCCGAAGTTTGGAAAAACCTCTGCTCTCTGTCTTTCTTCTAGCAGGCCAGGGGCAGATCTGTCACTCTGCTCTGGCTTCAGAAGACTATGCAGATCCAGGGATCCTGTTCGTCTCTCTAGGGCCCTATCTCAACAACCATCTGTGCCTTTTCCTTTTTTCTCCAAACGGACCCCCTACACACCACCTATAGCCGTTTAATTGCAAAAGACAGGCGGTTTGTGGCGGACCACAAGGCAGGGATCCCCTTTCATTTACCGGCACTGGAGAGCCCGAGCACGGGGAATGACCCCAGAAGCTACAGCCTATTCTGGGCTTCCTCTTCTCTAAGCCAGGGTAGCCCTGCCAGCGGAGCTGGGGGTGCACGCCTGCCATCCGGCCCTTGGGAGCCCGAGGCAGGAGGGCTGCCCCGAGTTCGAGGACACTACCTAGTGGTTCTAGGTCAACCTGAACTACACAGCGACACCCTGTCACAAACCAAACCAGACACGACCCAGCCAAACCAAATGGCTTTCCTCTTGGTAGTGCTGGGTCAGATTCGGCCCTCCCGTTCTCCCGGGAGTACTGTGGATTTCAGAGAAACTAAGTGACTCGTCCTAGGTGGAACAGCAGCAGCCGGGCAGGCTTCTCGGGCTCCAGCGGGCAGGAGGAGGACGCTGGCGTTCTTCCCTTTGGCTTGCAGGGTTCTAGCCCAACGCGTAGGGCCCCCTGGATGGAGACAGAACACGTCCCCAAATGCAGAGTAGCCAGTGGCTAGGAAGGTCCTGCTCACCCCTCCGCGTAGAGCGCACGTAAGAAGACCAAGTGGGAACTAGGTCCTGATACAGAGCGGCAACACCGGCACCCGCGCGGCTTCTTTAAACACCCAGAAGGAGCTACCCTACAGTCGACGAGGGCGGGGCAGGGCTCAATTCTGGTCACATGATCTGGCCTGAGAGCTCAGGGCCCCCCACCCCACCAGTGGGCGTCCCACACAACGCGTGGTCGACTTTCATTGGCTGGAGGTACGGCCAATAGAAATCGGCCATCTGGGATCTCAGCGTTCTGAGCCACAGCCTAACATGCTGAACCAAGTGGACTCCAGTGGAATAGGACGTTGGCGGTGAAAGACCAATGAGAAGGCTCGAGAGGCGGGTTAAAGGGCCCAATGGTGTTCGGTTGAGAAGCGGGCTGATATAAAATTGCGCAGCCCGCGGCGGCGCCCGTCGGTGCTGCAGAACCGCTGCCAGAGGATCGTTTTAAAGGGCCCGCGCGCCGCCGCCCCCTCGGCCCGCCATGCTGCTACCCGTGCCGCTGCTGCTCGGCCTTCTTGGCCTGGCCGCCGCCGAGCCTGCCGTCTACTTCAAAGAGCAGTTTTTGGACGGAGGTAACGTCTGGCCCCGCCTGGAAGCTGCCTCGGCGATACAGGCACCCCCCCACGCCCCCGTCCAGATATGCCCTGTCCTCTGTAATTAGCGCTCTGAGGGCCAACACCCCGGGCTCTGGGGACGGGGAGCCGCGGGCGACTACTCTTCGGTGTCCCTGGGGACCGCGGAAGCGCAGCGGCCTCCCGCCTGGGAGTTGGCGTTTGCCTGAGGGTTTCAAATCCCCCGGGTGTCAGCGCAGGTGGGGTGAGGGTCGGAGATCTGGTGGTGCTCCCGCGGCTTCTCGGGGCTCCTGGCTCACCTGCTCCTCATCCTAGACGCCTGGACCAACCGCTGGATCGAATCCAAACACAAATCCGATTTCGGCAAATTCGTTCTGAGTTCCGGCAAGTTCTACGGGGATCAGGAGAAGGATAAAGGTAAGACTCAGGGGTGTCCCGATCCTGAAGGCCTTCCTGGCAGAGGGTGGGTGGGGTACTCGTTCCTCAAGAGCAGGAGAGGTGGAGGAAGGAAGTGGGGAGTCGTTAGTGTTCCCGGAGGCCTACTGTCCCTAGGGGTCAGAGCCCAGTGCTGACCACACTCCCGTCCCATCTCAGGCTTGCAGACAAGTCAGGATGCCCGCTTTTACGCCCTGTCGGCCAGATTCGAACCTTTCAGCAACAAGGGCCAGACGCTGGTGGTGCAGTTCACAGTGAAGCATGAACAGAACATCGACTGTGGGGGTGGCTATGTGAAGCTGTTTCCGGATAACCTGGACCAGAAGGACATGCACGGAGACTCGGAATACAACATCATGTTCGGTGAGGGGGGTGTGCAGTTATCCTAACCCTCCCAGTAGTTGCAGGATGCGGCTCTCCTATACTTTTTTTTGAGATGTGGTTTCACTTTGTAGTTCATGCTGGCATTGAACTCCTAGAGATCCCTCTGCCTCAGCCTTCCAAGTGCTGGGATTACAGGTCTACTATCATGCTTGGTCCTAAATATCTTCATAACCTGGGAAGGTCTTGAGACCATAGAACGCTCTAAAGTCATAGTTCCTGTTGAGAACGTGTAATAGAAATTGCTGGCATTATGGTGAAGATGTAAACTGTATCAATGGACCTAGATGTTTGCTGATTTTACGCAGGTGAATAGTGAATTCTAGTAGGCAGGTTTTTTTGTTTTGTTTTTCTTCAAATTGAGACTACCTGTAAAGACAGAATCAGAATCTGAGGCTCATCTTTAACCTTACAGATTGGAGTTTAAAAGTTTTAGGTTCTTAGGCAGGTAAGGTCTCTCAGCAGTTGGGCAGTCTTGACTCTTCATGGAATCTGCTTTCCACCCAGGCCCAGACATCTGTGGTCCTGGCACTAAGAAGGTTCATGTCATCTTCAACTACAATGGCAAGAATGTGCTGATCAACAAAGACATCCGGTGCAAGGTATGCCTGAGAAGGGCGTCTTTAGGTGGCTCTTAGAGGTAGCCCAGAGGGTAGCCTGGTGGGTGGGGCCACTCACTTGCCACCCTGTTCAGGATGATGAATTCACACACCTGTACACGCTGATTGTGCGGCCTGATAACACCTATGAAGTGAAGATTGACAACAGTCAAGTGGAGTCAGGCTCCTTGGAGGATGATTGGGACTTCCTGCCACCAAAGAAGATAAAGGATCCTGATGCTGCCAAGCCAGATGACTGGGATGAACGTGCTAAGATTGACGACCCCACAGACTCCAAGCCTGAGGTTGGTGCTTGGGCAGGGGCTCTCTCTGCCACCTTGGGGGAGAGTATGGAGCACTGCCAGGCCCCTCTCATCCTCTTTGCACCCTAGGACTGGGATAAACCTGAACACATCCCAGATCCTGATGCCAAGAAACCTGAGGACTGGGATGAAGAGATGGATGGAGAATGGGAACCACCAGTGATTCAGAACCCTGAGTACAAGGTGAGTCTGGGGACTGGATTGATCCCCAGCACCCCAAAACAGAAACTATATGAGCTTGGGGTCTGAGCAGGGGCTGGGTCTCACAGTGGGAAATGCACCACCTTTACTTCATTCTTTGACTCCTTGGCAGGGTGAGTGGAAGCCAAGGCAGATCGATAACCCAGATTACAAGGGCACCTGGATCCACCCAGAAATCGACAACCCCGAATACTCCCCGGATGCAAACATTTATGCTTACGATAACTTTGCCGTGCTGGGCCTAGATCTCTGGCAGGTGAGATGTGGGGAAGGATCTGGAGGGGAGTCATCAGGTGGTCTGACCACCCAAGGTAGGAGACAGGCGTAGGGCTTACCCCAGGCAGGTCTGACCCCGCCTTGGTACATTTTCTTTTTTTTTTTTTTAATTTTTCCTTTTTTTTTTTTTTTTTTTTATGGTCAGCTCAGCCCACCCCAGGGGCGGGGCTGGCATGGCATGTGGTGCTGGGGATGGAACCGAGGTCCCTGCATACTTGCCTAAGCTTGCCTAAGCAGGCCTTTAGACCACTGAGCTATCTCGCCAGCCCTGATTACATTTCCTGAGGCAGTCTTGTCTGTCATAAGGTGCCTCAGAGCACATTCTCTTCAAGGGTCTCCTTATTAAGTGTTGGGTTCTTTATCTTTTTTTTTTTTTTGGTGGAACCGGGGATTGAACTCAGGCTCTTGTGCTTGACAGGGAAGCACTTATTCCACTGAGCCATCTCCCCAGCCCCCCTTTTTTGTTTTTTGAGAAGTTCTCACCATGTTGTCCAGGATAGCCTTGAGCTCAACAAGATCATTTTGCCTCAGCCTCCCTTATACTGACAGGCCTGTGTCATCATGCCCCTGCCATATGTGGTTCTTGAAGTGCTTATGCAAGTCAGCTCATTTGACTACAGTTGGCTTCAACAGGAACCTGGTGGGAGCTGGGGTGTAGCTCAGTGGTGGATGTTTGTTCCCTTGGCGATCCTGGGATACTCAGGATAGCAAAATAAATTGCACTGGACTGAACTTCTGCGAAGGAAGTACTTTTTTAGCCAAGGTTTCTGGCACACACCTCAGTGTCTGGAAAATACCTGAATAAGGGAGCAAGTCCCCATTTTACAGGTGAGGACGCTGAAGTAAAGAGTAGTTGTCTAAAGCATGAAAGACAGGAGGTGGCTGGAGCCAAGGCGTGTCTTGAGCTGTAACAGCATATCTCCACTGCCCCCAGAGACCAGCAGTGAGCAGTATGTGGTGGTCACAAGAACACAGGCGGTGCCTTGTCCAAAGCTAGCACTATGGGTTATGGCCTCTGACTACCCCTCCTCTCCAATCACCCCCAGGTCAAATCTGGTACCATCTTTGACAACTTTCTCATCACCAATGATGAGGCATATGCAGAAGAGTTTGGGAACGAGACATGGGGTGTCACAAAGGTGAGGTGGGGTCCATAGCAGGGGGTGGGGTGGCAGGGCTGCAGTCAAGAGTCGGGTTCTGATCTGGGTAGCTCTGCTTGCAGGCTGCAGAGAAGAAGATGAAGGACAAACAGGATGAGGAGCAGAGACTTAAGGAAGAGGAAGAAGACAAGAAGCGCAAGGAAGAGGAGGAATCGGAAGACAAGGATGATGAGGAGGACAAAGATGAGGATGAAGAGGACGAGGAGGACAAGGAAGAAGAGGAGGAGGAAGATGCCACTGGCCAGGCCAAGGATGAGCTGTAGAGGCCACGACACCCCTCCAGGGCTGGACTGAGGCCTGTGCGCCCTGCTGCAGAGCTGGCTGCGCCAAATAATGTCTCTATGAGACTCGAACTTTTTTTTCCAGGCGGGTTCAGATTTGGGGTGGATTTTGATTTGTGTCCCCCGCCTTTTTTTTTTTTTTTTTTAAACAGTTCTGTCTCTGAATCTCCTTCAGCCCTCAGTCTCCTCTTGCCTTTTCTCTTTTAACCAACCTCTTTCTCCTTTCCAGAATCCCTTAGTTACCCTGAGGGCAAGGGTGTGGAGGAGAAGCCCTAGGCTTGAGATTCCATCTGCTCTCCTTCCTGGAGCCCAGAGAGGGGCAGCAGAAAGGGGTGGCTTCTTCAGCCCCCCAGCACTGAGGAAAAATGGGGCACTCCCCATCCCTTTTTCTCCCCTGCCTCTTGACTGGGCCATTTCTGGGTGGGGCAGCGGATTCCAGTTTGGCTCACAGTGAGAATGTAAGAACTACAAACAAAATTTCTATTAAATTAAGTTTTGTGTCTCCCCGCTTTGTCGTCCTGTGAGGGGTAGACGTCACAGAGCCAAAGGTGGCCAGGGGGCAGATCTGCAGGAAGTCCCTCTTCCTGGCTGCAGAAAGGAGGACCTGGTACTCCTTAAGAGAGCAGTGGTACTATGGCCCCCAAACTAGTAGAATGACTTGTGATTCCTACCCACCATCTAGGCATGAGTCTGCTGATCCCTTGTTATTTTACACTGCATGTACTCCACAGCCAGCAGTCCTGATCTACTAAGGAGCAAGTCTATAGGGTAATTGTGACATTAACATACCAGCAGTGGCTGTTTCTTTTACAAGGGGCTGAGCTCAGCATGATGTGTACCCTGACCCTGGACCCATGGTCTTTAGGCAAAATTGGAATTTGGGAGGCAAGGGCTGGGGTGTTGAGTCCCTGGTTTCATCCCTAGTTCTGCAAGAGAAAGGTTGTGGTAAGGGAGGTGGGTGAACCAACAGGTACGGTGGCCTCTGGTGTAAGAAGGAACCTGATCAAATGTGCAAAAAAGCAGGCACTAGAGGGGGCAAGGGGTGAGGAGTCCGTCTTGGTCAGTGCCTGGGAGGGGCTGGAGGCCTCTAGTGGTTTGTTCAGGACTTGGGGATGTCCTTAGTCCCTAGTCATCCTACTTCCAGTAGTTTGTGTACTAAGTGGGGGACCAACCTCTCACCTCTATCCAGGTGCCTGAAGCACTCTGCAACTGCCCACTCAGTCTACTCCCCCCCCCCCCCAACCAGGGATTGAACTCAGGCCCTTGTGCTTGCCAGGGAAGCATTTATTCCACTGAGCCATTTCCCTGGTCCCTACTCAGTCTACTCTTGATGCCTGCTCCCTGGGGTCCTCTTCCTACCCTAGTCCCTCAAGCCTGGTTTGGTGGATTCAGGGAAGGTTCGTGGAGAGAATTCTGTACTCTATAGGTTGGACTGGGCTGGGGATGTAGCTCGGCACAGCATCTGCCTGGCAAGAGCAAAGTACTGCATTCAATTACTAGTGTAAAAAAAGTCAATATAGGTTGGGCTTAAGCCACATTTTCCTTAAATTCCGTACTTCATTAGGCAGTGGAATAAACTGGCGGGAGCAGCAGAAGTGGGAAGTCAAGAACAGAAACTGAAGAGTCATACCAAAAATCCAGATCCCCATCTACATGTGTGAACCAAACTATTAAATAGCCTGTGGTTTGGCTTGCAAACTCCCTGTCTCCTTCCACATTCCAAATGTTTAGTTTTTCTGTTGGGACTCCATAATGCAGCTCAGGGTGACCTTTAAACTCTGATCTGCCTCAGCTACCTGAGTGCTGTGATTACAAATGTATACCACCATACCCAGCATTTTTAAAATTTAAGAGGAGAATATTTATTGGGGGAAAGAAAGGGGCTGGGGAGATGGCTCAGTAGAATAAGCACTTCCCTGGCAAGCACAAAGGCCTGAGTTCAATCCCTGGTTCCACAAAAAAAAAAAAAAAAAAAGCTCCTGTCCATGCCCAGCATTTTAGTAATTTTCAGGGTTTAAGCTAAAATAGTAAAGCAGAATAAAACTCATTTGGAAGATAACCCACGAACAAAGATTTTCCAAGAGGTGCAAATATCCATTGCAAGTTAATGAAAAACCACTCAATGTCATCCAACATTTGAGGGTGACAGTGGGGACATCAGAGCCATTTTGCAGCCATATGACATCACCGCTAGCGGCCATGACGTCATTCTGGAGCAACCTGAAGAGAGCGCACCGAAGATGGGCCGCTTCTACAACGCTGCACACAAGTCAATCTGCGCATGCCTGGCCAAAGGAGCCTTGAGCGCATGCCCACGAGGGCTGGGGGTCACGTGGGCTGGCAGTCGGCGCGCGCGCGCGCCACTTGACCCGGAAACACTTGGCTTGCGGCGCGGCTGGGCGCTAAGATGGCGGCGGCGTGAGTTGCATGTTGTCTGAACATCCAGGGGCCGCCGCGTTGCTCGGGCCCCGCCATGGCCGTCACCATCACGCTCAAAACTCTGCAGCAGCAGACGTTCAAGATCCGCATGGAGCCTGACGAGACGGTGCGGGCCGGGCCCGAGCCCGGGGGCGGGAGCGACGGGTATCGGGGGTGGGTTGGGGGCGGGGAGGCCGGGATCCCACGGGAGGGGCGCGGAGGACGGCGCGGTTGGGTCCTGCCCACTCCCCCCACCGGCGCGGCTCCGGGACCCCTACCACGTGAGCCCTGGCCTGGTCCTCCAGATATCTCGTACGCTGCTCGCGGACTGCCTCGGGCGAGTCCCACCCCGGGCGCCTGGCCTGCCGGCTCGGGTGTCAGCGCCTCGCAGGGCGCGGCGCCGCTGTCCGCGCGCCCTCCTGTGCTGCGCGGGCGTCCCCGGAGGCCGGCGACTGCCAGTCTGGTAGTGATGACCCAGGATTCCGAACTGTGACAACTATTCTGATAATAAATGGTCTGTGATCGTAGTTTCGGTGGCTCATGTCTGTCGGCCGTTTATTTTTGCCTGTGCGTTCGGCACTTTCTGTGCCACTGTCCCAAAAGACACTGACTTCCACGCTCCAGGACAGGCCAGCGCTGCACGCTGACCGCGCTTCCAGCCCGCGCCCATTTTTTGTAGAAAAGGAAACATTTCTTTTTTTGATCAGTTTATTTGACTTTCGGCACGTTAATCACTGTGTGTCTCGTTTTCTCGTAGCAAGTCTAGTGTTTATATTAATGCTGATATTACGACACTTACAAGGTGTGGTACAGCTGAGGTTAGTGGTACACATCTTCAGCCCAGCTACTCGGTAGGCTAAGGCAAGAGGGTCAAAAGTTCAAGACCAACCTGAATAACATAAGATCTCTCAAAAGAAGTCGGGAGTGTAACTCTGGTAGAATGACCTTGAGTTCAAGCCCCAGTTTCTCAAAAAGCACAATACCATAATCAATAGCATTAACAGTATGCATTGTTCACCCTTTTTAAGTACCCAGTACTCTTTATTGTCCCAGGTCAGCATCATAAATGAGAGACCTCCTATCTGCCCCTTTAATCTTTTTGCTTGTTTTTTGAGACAGGGTTTCCCTATATAATCGAGGCTGGCTTTCAATGCGTGGTCTTCCTCCTGCCTCAGCCTCCCAAGTGCTGGGATTACAGGTGTGCGCCACTATTCCTGGCTTATTCAGTTTTTTGGTTTTGGTTTCGGTTTCTTTTCTGTTTTATTTCAGTATAGTTTATGCCATTTAGAAACATGTTTGTTATTCTTTTCAAATTAGCTACTTCACATGAGCAGGAACTTATTTTTGTTCCACGGTGGGAATTTTGCATAAAATGGCTTTAGTGCCTAAACTAGCACCTGGGATGTAATAGGTGTTCGGTAAATACCATAGATTGGGCAGTGGTTGCAGGAGCCTCTCTTCCAAGAGGCTTACAAAATCTCTCTAAGCCAGAAGGGAAGAGAGACTTGGGGTTCACAGAGGCTCTCTGGGCTCCTCCAGGTAAAGGTATTGAAGGAGAAGATCGAAGCGGAGAAGGGCCGTGATGCTTTCCCAGTGGCTGGACAGAAGCTCATCTATGCTGGCAAGATCCTGAGCGATGATGTCCCCATCAGGGACTATCGTATTGATGAGAAGAACTTCGTGGTTGTCATGGTGACCAAGGTGGGTGATTAGTGGGGGAGCTGGCAAAGAGCCTGCATGCCCAAGAGAGATTAGCCAAACACAGGGCAGGGCCACATTAGGGCAGGATGTTGGGGCTTGATAGTGCTGACGCTGGCCCCCTTTTTTCTTTCTGTCACAGGCCAAAGCTGGCCAGGGTACCCTAGCACCTCCAGAGGTCTCACCCACTGCTGCTGTCCCAGAGCCCTCCACACCCTTCCAGCTGACCCCTGCCTCAAGCATGTCCCATCCATCACCTGCCACCAGAGAAGAAAAGAGTCCATCGGAAGAGTCAGCACCTACAACATCACCAGAATCTGTGTCAGGGTAAGGCAGGAGCAGCAGTTCTCCTGGGGCCCTGTCTTCCCTGTACCTTACGTGCCTACCTATGTAGTCCCTCATACTTGGGGGGAGGGTAGGCCACCAGAAGCCACGGTCCAATTTCTCTCTCTTGAATTTGCAGCTCTGTTCCCTCTTCAGGTAGCAGTGGGCGAGAGGAGGATGCAGCCTCCACACTAGGTGGGTGGGTGTTCTCTGCGGTAGAGGTGACTGGGCACCTGGCATCATCTGGGCCTTATCTGGGCATGGGAGGGTATGGGTGCTGCCTGCCCTGTTTTTGGTGACGCAGATTCTGGTGCTCCCTTCATAGTGACTGGCTCTGAGTATGAGACAATGCTGACAGAGATCATGTCCATGGGCTATGATCGGGAGCGTGTCGTGGCTGCCTTGAGAGCCAGCTACAACAACCCACACCGGGCTGTGGAGTATCTGCTCACGGTGAGGTGGGGCTACTATCTCTCAGAGCGGTGCATCATGGAGGCAGCTGCCAAGGGCCCTGGGAGGGGGCTGCTGTCACTCAAGGCTTCCCTTGGGAAGCGGGCAAGAGTGGTGGGTGGCCCCTGGTTGGCAAGGCAGCTGGAGGGAGGTCTGTATGGGAGAACTAAAGAGGATTTCTGACAGGGAATTCCGGGAAGCCCTGAGCCTGAACACAGTTCCGTCCAGGAGAGCCCCACGACTGAGCAACCAGCCACAGAAGCAGGTGGGTGGGCAAGGTATCGTGCCCACAGGGCATCTCCTGGGGCCAGGCCCTGGGTCCCTATGTGGTTTCTGATTGCACCCCTTCCTGCTGCCAGCAGGAGAAAACCCCCTGGAGTTCCTTCGGGACCAGCCCCAGTTCCAGAACATGAGGCAGGTGATCCAGCAGAACCCAGCCCTGCTGCCCGCGCTGCTCCAGCAGCTGGGCCAGGAGAATCCTCAGCTGTTGCAGGTGCGGCCCAGGCAGGGGGAGTGGGGCAGGTGCCTGTGGTTAAGGGGCTACTGTAAATGTGGATGGCAGGGTGAAAGGGAAATAGTCTTCTGGGCTCTTTGCTGGTGGAATGAGCATATGGGCCAAGCAGCATAGCAGGTCCCTCTGGGTCCTCTAAGCTGCCTCAGGACCTGCCAGCTTCTGCTCTCCCTTCTTAATCCCTTCTGCAGCCTCCTCTCTTGTTTTTCAGAGGGTTTTTTTGTTTGGTTTTTTAATATATTTGGTACAGGGTTTTGCTACGCTGCAAACAGTCCTGTTTTCAGCCTCCCCAGTGCTGGGGTTACATGTGCCACCATGCTTGGTCTTGGGTGGCCAGCTCAGCATGCCCAGGGGGCAGGGCTGGCACCGCATGAGGTGCTGGGGATCAAACCACAGTCCTTGCACTTGCCTAAACAGGTGCTTAGTCCACTGAGTTATCTCACCAGCCCTTTTTCAGGTATTTCTGAGATAAGGTCTCCTTGGATAGTCCAGGCTGGCCCTGAACTCCCTTCTTAACCCAGGCTGGGCATTAAACTTAAGATCTTCCTGCCTCAGCTTACTGAATACTGGACTTAGAGACTTGCGCCATTAGGACCAGGTCACAGCTGTTTTTCATCTGGACTCAGTCCTCCTGGGGCCTTCAGTCTGTGGTGACCTGAAGCCTGGTAGCCAGCCCAGACTTCTGCATGCTGCTCTCCCATGGCTGACTTAACATCTACAAGTGACAGTTTCTAGACTTCTGAGACAGGACAGACCCTCTCCATGCTCACTTCTGCTAGGGCCCTCTCTGTCTTCCACGTGGCCCAGCCCTGCCCTCATGGCTGCCACTTCTAATTCCCACTGGCACCCTTATTGCCCCTTGAAGGCCTTTAATTCCACTGCCACCTGGTCCTTTGTCCACTAGACATCAGATTCAGAGGGACCACTTTATTGTATTGAGAAACAAATAGCAATGAGATAGTTTCCAAAACACATTAGTAGGACAGTTAAAATAATACATTGCCTATTGTCTTCATAGTAGTTATTCATAGTATAAGATGCAGATATATCTTGTCTAAACACTATTAATATAGCACTTCTTTTTTTAATGTGGAAATTGGCAGATGTGTAAAGAGTACAGTTGCTCCAGCATCTCCAGACTCCCTGTACTCAGATGAGTGACTTTGGAAGGGACACACAGGTGCAGCTCAGTGGTGAGCACTTGCCCAGCTTGCCAAGGCCCTGGCTTCCACCCCCAGCACCAGAACATTCCCAGGATGGGCTCCATGGTGCAGGCCCACAAACGTAGCACTGAGGAGGCTGAGTAATTTCCACATGCTTGAGGCCAGCCGGAGCAATGTAGTTTAAGCTGCCTTCGAACTACACAGTGAGACCCTGCCTCAAAAACAGGACTTCCCAGATCTTGGCTATTATAGCTTCCTTTCCTCATGATAGCCTGCCCTGCTTTCCAGGGTATACTTTCATCTTGCTTTTTTCTCTTTAGCCCAAGTTTGCTCTGCAGAGTCAGTTTTTCTCCCTCTACTTTTATTTTTTCAAATAAACTTTGCCGGTGCTAAAAAAATAATTCACAAATTCTCAGATCTCATCATCCCTGTTGAACTGTCACTGCTATGGCTTCTTATTACATTGGAAGAAACTGCTGGCCCCCAGTTTTCCTCTCATTCACCTCCCGCCGCCCTGCCCATCTGAGGCTGAGACTTGCTGTGTGACCCACCCTCGAGCCTTTGTACCTCCTGCTTATGCTGCGTGCATTCTATAGACCACAGGCCCCAGCCACATTGGATGCAGTGATTTTTCTAGCTGCAGCTGTGCTGTTGTCTGCTCCCTGTATTTGTCTACTAGCATCCCTGGAGCATCAGCCTCACCAGGACAGGGCTGGTTCCCCACCCTTTGTTGCTTTCAGTGTCCACTGACTGAAAAAGCAAGGTGTGTTGGAGTCTAGGGAGGGGGACCGAGGCCAGGCCTCCGCAACCCTCCTCTCCTACAGCAAATTAGCCGGCACCAGGAGCAGTTTATCCAGATGTTGAATGAACCCCCTGGGGAGCTGGCGGACATCTCCGATGCGGAGGGGGAGGTGGGCGCCATAGGTGAGGACGCCCCACAGATGAACTACATCCAGGTGACACCGCAGGAGAAGGAGGCTATCGAGAGGGTAAGCAGCCAAGGGTCTGGCTGGGGCTGGGGCCGGGGCCGGGGCTACCCTGCCTGGAGGCCCTCACCCAGTTCCTCATGCTCACAGTGCATCTCCCTGCAGTTGAAGGCCTTGGGCTTCCCCGAGAGCCTGGTGATCCAGGCCTACTTCGCATGTGAAAAGAACGAGAACCTGGCTGCCAACTTCCTCCTGAGTCAGAACTTTGATGACGAGTGACACTGGGAAGCCAGGCCGCCCACTGCCCCCACCTTGCCCTATTCCACAAAAGTTTTATAAAAGAAAAAAATATATATATTCATCTTTATTTAAGAAGTGAAAAAAGTCAAAAACCTTTTAAAAAAAAATAATAACCCAGCTCCCCACCTTCTTCAAGTAGCCCCCATTCCTTCCTGGTCCAGAGGACCCAGACCAGACAGCTGTCCCCATCCTCCCTGCCCAGCCTGCTCAGAGTCGCTGGCAGGGCCAAGAGGCGACAGATGGGCTCCTCTTGGCCTCTGTCCCAGCTCCCTTAACCAGATGGAGAGGCGGCTGTTCATTCCCCACCCCACTGTCCTCCAAGATGAGGGGAAGCTGGAGCCCCAAACTTTGATCCTCCATCAGAGTGGCCAGATTCTTTCCATCTGGGGCAACTTGCAAGGCCCCCTCCCTAATACGGCCTTTCTTGGCCTCCAGCGGGCCAAGTGTGACATCAGCTCTAGAGGCCATAGCTGTCCCTGTCTCAGAACAGAACCGTGTCTCTGATAAAGGTTTTAAAGTGAATAAAGTTTTAAAAATGAGCCCTAATGGTTCGTGCCATGCCGGCTTGCCTGGGCCTGGGGAAGTAGGGCTCTGGAGGTGGAGGAATGGGGTAGGGGTTCCTGCCCTAGTCAGCATGGGACGGAGCACTTCTCCCAGCCCCCCATCACCATCACCATAGTCTGCCTGGCTGCGCCTCCCCCTGGTAATTGGCTAATTACTGGAGATTAATGTTGGTAAACAGAAGCCTTCTTCTCTGCTGCCATCTGCTCCTCTATTATCTGCCCAGCACATCCCTTCCTCCCCTGAAGCCCCAGTTAGTCGGCATGGTATGGCCCAGGGTCCCTGTTCAAACACAGCCGCTGGCTGGGAAGCCCCTCCAGCCCCAGGTGTTGGGGAAGGAGCCAGGGGACCTGGGGAGGCACCTGGAGAAAGGATGAAGAGTCCTGTGGGGAGGGGGCTGCTGGGCAGCTGGTTTTATTGGGAAAGGACAAAGCTCAGGAGCTGGCTGCCTCAGAGGCTGCTGCGTTCTGGGCTGCGCTGGTGGCCATGGCAGCAGCCCGGGCCTCTTTCTTCTGCCTCTGTTTTTCCTCCTTGAGGCGCTTGCGCTGCTGCTTCTCCAGGTCCTGCAGCAGCTCCTGGAAGCGTGTGCTCCGCGGGTCCACGTGGTAGCCCAGGCGTTCCTGGGCCTCTGCCTGTAGGCGAGCCCTGCGTTCCTTGTCTGCCTGTACCTTCTCCCAGCGCTCTCGCTGCTGCTGCCGCCAGTTCTCAATCATCTGCGGCATCTTGGCCATGCGCTCAGCAATGAGCTGCTCCCTGTGAGGAGGGATGGTAGACAGACCTGGGATGCCCTGGAATGCCACCCATCCACCTAAAACCTGCCCCAGGCCCCGTGACCGAAGACCCATTGCCACTGACTAGCAGGAAAAGTATTTGACCAAGGCAAAAAAAAAAAAAAAAAAAATGCTCTGCTGTAATCCCAGTGCAGGACGAGGTCAGCCTGATAAGTAACTGAGCTGTTCCCTGAGCCAACCAGAGCTACTATTCTGGAATAACTCATTCCTCGAGCCAGGCTTCACAGATCAGCTACTGTACATTCTACAGACAACAAAGGACATTGTAGTTCTGGCCCACATCTAGGCACAGAAATGAAGGCACGGAACAAGACTGGAAGTCAGACATAGTGGCACACACCTATGACCCAGCACTTAGGCTGAGACAGAGGCAGGAGGATCACTGCAAGATTGAGGCCAGTCTGGGATACATAGCTGGACCTTATCTCTAAAACAAAAATAAGCCAGGTTGGCCACTTCCCCAAAGCCTTTAGTTTGTAGTACCAATCACAGCCAAATTTTTTTTTTTTTTTTGCTGAACCGGGGATTGAACTCAGGCCTTTGTACTTGCCAGGGAAGCACTTATTCCACTGAGCTATCTCCCTGGCCCCAACAGTTACATTTTAAGAATTAGAAAGGGAGAGGCCAGGGAGATGGCTCAGTCAAATAAGCACTTCCCTGGCAAGCGCAAGGATCTGAGTTCAATCCCCGGTTCTGCAAAAAAAAAAAAAAGGAAACATGATTAAGGCACCATTCAAGGGTCACTGGGCAAAGCTGTTCACAGTCACTCTGGACATCTGGCCACACAGCCTGTCTCCCCACCCTTAAGCTGAGTCTGCTGGCCTGGATGTAGGTCGGTGCAGCATCTGCCTACTGTGTGTGAGCCAGTTACATCTTTAGGCTAAAAGGTGATCCCTGCTGTTCTCAAGGCTGCCAGGGGACAAGGTTAAACACTTGATCTCCTTTACCTTTAAGAAGATGTCCCTGGTCCTGCCTCCACTCTTCTTCGGTTTTTGTTTTGATCTCTAATTGCAGGTCCAATCACGTTCCTCACTGTCCATTCATCCAAGTCACAGTGACACTGATGGCTGTTACTTTTTTTGTGGGACTGGGGATTGAACTCAGGCCCTTGCACTTATTCTACTAAGCCATCTCCCCAGCCCCTCTGGCTTTTTAAGAAATTTATTTATTTGTGTGTGTGGCCAGCTCAGCCCACCAGGGGGCGGGGCGCGCTGGCATATGATGCTGGGGGATTGAACCGCGGTCCCTGTGCTTTGCTAAGCTTGCTCTAAGTAGGTGCTTTAGACCACTGAGCCATCTCACCAGCCCCTGGCCAGGTCCTGAACACTGTTTAACGTCAGGATCTCTGCATGCCCATCCCTGAGAAGCTTCCATGATGTCACCTTATCCAAAGATCTAGTTAAGTATCATCCCTTTACGGAGCCCTAAAACATTCTCTGGTATGCTCTTCAGTCAGGGGTTGGTTTGTTTTGGGGCAAGGTCTCAGTATATAGCTCAGGCTAGGCTCGAACTCGAGAGTACTGGGATGACAGGCTTGTGCCACCAAGCCTGGTTACCCAATTTTCTGGTTTTAATGTCCTGTCGTTTGAGACTTATCTTGCCTGTTTTGTTCCCTGCTGTGTCCTTGTGGCCTGGGACAGGGGGCACCTGTGGCAGGGCTTTCCAACTGTAGACATCGCGCCGGTGTGAGATGCACTACCGCGGGTTTCCCGGGATGGCGAGTTCCCCGGGGGTGCGCAGGTGGCTGAGCTAGCTGTGCTAGGCCCGCCCTCAGACTTAACCGCACACACACCTTTCTCGATGCTTTTGCTCCTTCGCCAACTCTTTTGCCCGCAGCGACTCCTGCATGGTCGCCAGGCTCGGGTGCCATTCTCGCTCCTCTGCCTCTAGTTCGCGGAGCTGCTCCGTCGTCGGCCACAACAAGCTGGGGGCTACCTTGGAGGCAGTGCCGTGCCGCGCGAACTGCTTGGCGGCATAGCGCGGACCTAGCTGCCAGCGTGGGGTCAGTGGGTCCTTGGAGTCCGGCCACCAGGGGCCCGGTGATCGGCGTGGAGGTGGCGGCGCTCGGTAACCGCGCGAGCATGGGCTCAGAGCCGCAGACAGCCCCAGCAAGCCGCGAGCCCGCTGCACGGACGCCGCCATCTTGGCTTCGGGGTCCTCGCTGGCGGCTGAGTTGTCTGCGGCGCTGCCTGAGCACAAATGCGAGGCAGGGTCAGGGCATCCTGCGCGTGATTTAATGGGGGTGGGGAGCGGTGTGTGTGTTACCTCGATTACAGCAGCGCGTTCTGCTCAAGTAGTTGTTTATTAAAATAGTGTAGCATTTAGTGTTTTAAACATACCGAATCTTAATTATTTTTTTGCCATACTGAGTTAGAAACCAAGAGTTTTACACAAGTTTTGCAAGCGCTCTACCACTGAGCTAGTCCCAGCCCTGAACTTTGTCATTAATCTTAAGGGGACTTCCTACATATTGCTTTATATTTAAATATTTACAATTTAGATTTATTTATTTATTTAATTTATTTTTTTTTAAGTGGATTAATCAGTTTCTATTTTTTAAGATAATTTCACACAATGTCACTTCTGGGCCAGTGATGAAATTATACTTGCCACCCACAGGCTATTCCAAAGCAAGCTGTTGTGTTTTTTTGGGATGCTGGGGATTGAACTCAGGGCTTCCTGCATACTAAGCACATACATTAGCACTGAGCCACCCTCAGCCCCATACAGACACTGAACTGTACAAGAAGTTTGGAGTTAACTAGCAACAAGTCTGAAAATTTGGTTACGTATATAGGTACAAAGCTGGTTCATCAAATCCCTGTTCTGACCCTCAACCCAATGCATTTCAACTAAGGCATCATCCACTTCCTTCTTGACATTTATCAAACACTTAAATAGGTACTGTGCACCTCCTCCTTGGAGATGCTTCCCCTTGTCAGCCTCGGGGCTGCTGAACTGCTCAGATGCCTCTCGGTCCTGGGCGCCATTGCTAGAGCCCTTACAACTTTCTATAACCTCTGTCCCTCCCTTTCCCTCACTCATTTCATCCTCCAGGGGTTCTGGGGCTTCCTCCTGGGACAATGACTCCTGGCTTGGGCAGTGGCCCCCAACAGTGGCAGACTCGTCTTCCTGTGGAGCAGGGCCACACAGGGTACTCTCCTGGGGGGCCAGGGCCACATCTTGGCTACTGCCCGACTCTTTGGGGGTGGCCTTCTTCTCCTCCAAGGCCTGGATGACATCCTCAGGAGCTCGAGGCACCTCTCTCAGCTGTCTCACTCATTCTCTTTTCTTCCTCCTTAAGTGAATCCAGAAGTTTTCTATGGCTGTCAGGAAAAGGCTAACTTCCTCTTTTCCACAGGGAACTCGTTTATGCTGGACCTTCAGATCCGTGAGAATTTTTTCTATCCATGTTGTCACGCCCACAATGCCTTCCGCTGTCTCAGAGCCCAAAAATGATGCTTTGAGAGATAACTCTTTCATCACAGACTCCAGCACTACAAACGTAATGGGCTTCCTTGGCTTCTCTAATTTTCTTCGTTTACTTGGTGGTGATGGTACTGTGACATTATCATAAAAACTCCAAGCTAAGGCCCATCTCATGGTCCGACCTTGACAGAACTCGGTAAAGGTGACTTTAGGAACCCCTTGGATGCGAAGCTCTTCCTTCAGAGGAGCCAGGCTGCACTTCTTTCCTAGCATGCAGCTGTACCACCTTAATCTTTTTTTAAGTTGTAAACTGTCGTGGATGATCCTTTTAACAAACTCTAATTCACCACCTTCTGCCATGATTTCTGTGATACCTCCTGTATTTACAGAACTAGGTGGAGGTCTTCGAGAATTTCTAGAGTTTACTCCCTTTGCTTCCAATTGGTTGGCAAAAAAAGGAGGGTTGCACATGCAAAAGTCATAGATTATTTCAGATTCTTCTTTAAGAGCATCCATTAGGAGTGTCTTCTGTGGTACTTTTACCACTTTTATGAGATCAGATAAGTTATTTTGTTCCACATTTTTCTTAGCATAGTTGAAACACATATCATCCACTTCTGTTGCAAGAAAATACCAGCCATTTAAGGTTGCTCCAAGTAAGGGATAGATGCAAGATGCCCCAGTACCTATATCAATTCCTCTTTGAAGTGGAGTTTTGTCAGCATCCTGGTGACCAATGAGATCTTCTACCCAATGGATATAGTTGAGTCTCAAAGGAACTGTGGGAATTAGTCTCTCCAATGGAATATCAATAGAAAGTCCAAAGTCTTCCCTTAAGAGAGTACAAGTCAAAGCTCTGACTGCTTCAGGGTCTTTAAAATTGAGACTCACTCTTCCATTCAGATTTATTTGAACATGTTGCTTAAAGTCTGGATATTTGGATGCCAAATACGCAAAGTCAGGAGGTTTGTCCTTGTATCTATTTCTTGCATGCATTGACTTACTCAGAGCCATCTCCTAGGCGGATGCTTTTGCCTGATGACACGTCTGGCGTGGGCCTGTGCAGTCTCAAATTTTTACGCCACCCGCAGCGCAAAGTTCCTAGACATGCCTACAATTTAGATTTAGAAGGGTTAAATTTTTAACAATTATTATTCTTTTTTTTTCTGGAACCAGGGATTGAACTCAGGGCCTTGTGCTTGCCAGGCAAATGCCTATTCTACTGAGCTATCTCCCCTGCCCCACTTAAATGTTATTGAAAGCAGTAATTTATTTAACCTTTCAAATAATCAATTCTTCCACTCATTGATTCTTTTTTTTTTTTTTTTTTTTTTTTTGCAGAACTGGGGATTGAACTCAGGCCCTTGCACTTGCCAGAGAAGTGCTGATTCCACTGAGCCATCTCCCAGGATTCATTGATTCTTTATATTGTTTTCTTAGTCTCCAATCCGTTGATTTCTGCTCTGATTTTTTTGTCCTGTTCTGATATTTATCATTTCTTCCCTCATAGGGGTTTTTTACTTATCCTGCTATTTTTGTTCTAGAAGCTTGAGGTTCACCATTAATTTGTTCACTTACAATTGCTCTGTTTTCTTAACATGGGTATTCACTGTTATAAATTTCCCTCTTAGTGCCGGGGAGATGGCTCAGTGGAATAAGCGCTTCCCTGGCAAGTGCAAGGGCCTGAGTTCAACCGGGGGGTTCCGCCAAAAAAAGAAAAAAGAAAAGTTTGCAAAAAAAAAAAAAATTTCCCTCTTAGAACTACATTCAGGGCTGGTGTGATGGCTCAGTGGTCTAAAGCACCTACTTAAAACAAACTAAGCTAAGCAAAGCACAGGGACCTCGGTTCAATCCCCCAGCACCACATGCCAGCCAGCCTCGCCCCCTGATGGGCTGAGCTGGCCACACACACACACACACACACACACAC